AGAGAAAGAACAGATGGAGTAAAAATCCACAGTTCATAGTATTTACTTATTTAAAAAAGTGCTCAATACAAAGTAGAGCAAAATATTATTATAATATTTTTATCATAATAGATTATAATAAAACCTTTTTACATCACTACACAAAAGCTTTCATGTTTCAATACTATGATTGTACTTCCTCAGGCGATGGTAGATAACTTGTGATAAAAATGATATATTAGGGAAATTTAAAAACAAATTGTTACCTCTTTTGGAAGTTAAGGCAAGGCATAAGGTCAGAATTAAAAAATATACTTCTGGGTATGTCTAGATTAACCAATTAAAATAGAAAAATAAGGTCAGGGGGGGAGGTGGATGGGTTATTATTTTCATGTCAAGATAATCTGACACTTGAACATACCATCCAATGATCGTAGGAAACATGGCAGCTACAAATGTATTATGGATGTAGCTAAGTATGATGTTCCAATTTGTTGAGTAGACAGAAAGTTATCAGAAACAAATTAAAAAAACATTTTTTATGTTCAGGAAGCTTCTTAAAGGTAAAATTAAAAATGTGGAACATCTATATACGATGTTAATTATACTGAATAGATGGTAAAATGGCAATATTAAAGTTGAATAAATCAAATAAATATTGGGTGGACCATTATATACTAATATGTAATTATTTATGAAAATTTTTTTAACTATATTTTAAAGTAAAAAATAGACAATGCTGGCATAACACCACTAATTCATTTCTTTGGTTTAAGAGAGCTTTTTTTGTTAGCAAACTTTATAATATGTAATTTTTCCTGTAAACAGAAGGAACATAGATCATATAAGGATTTACAAGTTCTACATTATTTTAATATTTCCATTTTACCGTTTAAAAAAAAAAAAAAAACTATTAAAAAAATTACATATTATAAATGGGGGAAGAGTGCTTAAAATTGGGGACAGATCATTTGTAGATATAAACAGTATAGACAGAGAAATAAACACTGTATGTCTGTTTCATGCCTTAAGTGATCATCAAATTGTGTGTGTGCGTGTACACACACACACATAGTGACACATGAGCTGTTAAAAGAATTTAGATGATATAGAAATGGTAAAAACTGAATATGTCTGAAGTTAGTAGCCAACTTTGCCTGCAAAGAAGAAAGCAAACATATTTTATGACCAAGAGAATGCAGACATATCCTAGGAATTTTTATTTAAAGGAATGTATATCAGACTTTCTTAAGACATACTTCAGATTCCTTACCCAGTTTCATATCTGTTACATGAATGGAAATATTTGATCCACCTTCAATATATTCTGGTAACAAAATTTTCTAGAATAAAGTTTATTTTTGTTAAACCATTGAATCTTTTATTTCCAGCCTAGTTTCTGCAATCACTGAGAATTACACTTCATACAACAATATACATACTGAATACACTTCAATTACACTTCATACAACAATATACATACTGAATACACTTCAATTACACTTCATACAACAATATACATACTGAATACACTTCAATTACACTTCATACAACAATATACATACTCAGTACACTTCATACAAGAATAGACATACTGAATACACTTCAATTACATTTCAAATGACAATATACATCTTCAGTACACTTCAAACGACAATATACATACTGAATACACTTCAGTTACACTTCATACAACAATATATATATATACTATGTGATATTTGTATTATTACCAGATCTGACGATATATATATACCCCATTCCCAATTTTTTCCCTACAAAAAAGGTCTCCTAAGTCTTATATTTTAATTAGAGGTTTCTGACAAGCTAATGTTAACCCAGATGCGCAGACAACCAATACTTGTAACTAGCCTAACTCCATAGTAGGATTAAATATAAATATTGTGGAGTTCTTATATGCCATAAAAAAATATGGCATACATACTAATTACTAATCACTACTGGAGATACATACTAAGCTTATTGGTCAATGTTTTGAGGTGATAAAGTCAGAAGTTTGACAATTAAAGTCAAGATTCTTCTTCTAATTGAAATACATAAATGCTTAACAACTTATGATCTTATGGTAAAGACTAAGCAAAAGCTCGATTAAAATTTAAGGAAAGATCATTCCAAAAAACATTCCCTGACTATTAGTAGTTCTTCAATTCAAAATGACACTTTAAGCATATATTTCCTCCAAACAATATTACGTAATATATGAACTGGTGAGCTGTTTTATATTTTGGCTAGGAAAATGCTAATTCCTATAAAGAAATCATTGTTGGTTTTTGAGATCATATTTTACTTGAAATATCATTTAATAATATTGCAGTACATTAATTGTCAGGGAAAAGGAATTAGAAACATTTAGTGTAGAAGCAAAAGGACAGAAATAATTAAAAAAATAAATAAACAGAAATTGAAGGGAATACAGAAACAATACCGTTTCATACCTGTTTGACAGCATCCAAGAGTCGTGTAAGAAGACTTTGTCTCTCTGCCAAATGAAAGTCATAGTCTGAAAATAAAAATTTCAATGAATATATCAGAGCAGAGATTAAAACAACAAAAATGATTTTTATTAGTTTGGTGAGTTATATCGAGTGAAGTGATTAATTCTTTAGTATTTATTGGTGACTGAAGGAAACTTATGTTTTGCTTCTTTTTTTTTTTTTATTAGTTTGATTTTGTGATTTGTACACGTCCTTTACACTTGAACACATTGTAGTGAGTAAAGACACATGCTTGTAAAATCTGCAATATCCTAAACAATATATACTTTCTAAAAGCTAAATGAATATCTAGGACTGTTTTTTATTTAAACATTCGGTAATCCTGACTGAATATACAGCTAAAATTAATCTATAGAAGCACTTGAAGGCTCAAATGAAAGATGAAGCAACCAAGTCACATTATTTAATTATGAATGCTCTTGAGAGAAAAAAAAATTAAAAAAATAATGGTCTATAATGCTGTTGTCATTTCAACTTTTCTATATGGTTGTAAAACCTGAACTCTATATTGTTGTAACATCCAAAAATTAGAATGCTTTCACCAGCAGAAGCTTAGTTCAATCTTGAATATCAAATAGAATTACAACATGACATGGAAAGAGCCGACGGTCAAAGTATTAAACACCATCTTTGGTGGTCAGGACATGTAACAAGAATGGCAAACCAAGTTTTATTCAGTGAACTTGTGCAAGTCTATCATGCATGAACATACATACATACATACAAATACAATACATTATTTACATTATTCAGACTATTGTCCTCATCTTTGTCGCCATATTTATTACGTTTCGGCTGTTGTATGCTCCGGCCTTCTTAAGTTGGTTGGAATGTTGAACTTAACCTTTTATTTCACTCACTGGGATAGACTGTTCTAGTTCCATGTGCCATGTTTAATGGATGTCAGTTATCACTTATCTCCTGTTAATTTTCCCTCTGAAAGTTCTCTTAACCAGGTATTGAACTCACACTCTTTGGGTCCTATCACAGGATCTAACCAATGCCTTTATCCACTGTGCCATGTGTCCTTGAGGAAACATTGTAATAAATATGGTGACAAAGATGAGGACAATAGTCCAAATAATGTAAATCATGTACATAATACCTCATCTCAGAAATATAGACAGATACAAATACAAATCACATACAATGCAAAGCATTCATTGGTTAATTAATCACCATTACGTTATTATAGACAATTTACAAATTGCAGCAATCTGACAATTTTGTAATCGCTCTATTTTCATGTAATCAGTTTTGTGCACTTTTGAGAGAAATGGATCATAGAAGCTTTTTTAAGTCTTCACAAACCTAGCTCGCTGATTGGTCTTTGCCAACCAATCAGATCATCTACACATGAAGAATAATTCTTCCCGTGCAGCAATCTGGAGCCTATAGTCACTTATTTAAGCAAGCATTTTTCTTAGCTAATTAGTGAGAATTCAGCTGCCAAATAAATCCATGACAGTTGAAACCATGCACCAACCTTCTCATTCACACACACCACTCACATGCTGAACATACTGTGAATTAAATAAATGACTCCAACAAGATGTGTGTGTGGAGAAAGAATTTATTTAGCGACCTTCCAACACTACGTGATGGTAATCAACTGTCCCTACCCCCGCATTTCCTCCTCAATCATACCTCACTCATAGAGAAAGTACAAGGAAGACAACTTCACATTGATTAACACATACTTTGTATATACTCACATAATCTTTTCTAACACGGCAAATCTTTTAAGAACAGCCATTATAAGAGACTCTCATGAACATTATTCCAATGAATTTTGAAATACTAAAATAACAGATAAAGAGAGACAACTCTTGTTTATTTCAACCTTTTCTTACTTAAATGCATGCTTTCTTTCACATCATTGTTTGATATTGTACATCTTGTTAAATACATATTTTATGTGTAACAATGTCTTTGGCTTATCCTTTTCTGTGTCAGCCCTGTTTCCTAATCTAAAGTTAAATTAATGTGGTGAAGTCTGCCACAAGTTCACTTCAGGGAAATGACCACATGATTGCTCTCTTCGATGTTACAAGGACCAACACAAAACAACACTGAAAGCCACTGGACTTGAGCCTAAATTATTTGATCATCAATGCCATCATCATAAAGAAAGCAATCAAAACAGAAGTAAATTCTTGGATACAAGATAAAGCTGACAACAACAGCTCTTGAGGAATTTAGAAGAATATTTCTGATCCAAGATTATCAGACACTTACCAAAATAACTATAAAGGTTAGCACCAAATGTACCCACAATTGTCCCCACCAGCTGGAACTGAATGGAAAAAAAATGGAGTTTCCACTAAAACACTTGAGAATATGGAAGCACTTATTAGCCCTTTAGCTACAGCATACATATTCTGATTTTAAAGTTTAACATTTCTTAGTCTTGATCAGTCAATGATTTATTTATCTTAGAATAATAAGAAATTAAACCTTGAGAGTCATAAAATGATTACCTGTCTTTTGTGATATAAAGTGTGGCTAAAGTTTAAATATATATATATATATATATATATATATATATATGAAGAAATATATTCTTAAGGTGTATTATATTTATAGTATAAAGTGCTCAATATCAGAGATGGAGCGTGTATAAATATAAAAGTGAACATTGAAGTCAACACTTAGAGGCGACAAGCTGTTTCATGCTAGACACAATCGTCAGGACACCCATATATATATATATATATATATATATATAACACTAAAACAACTAATGTCTGCAAATAGATTGAATTAGAATAAATTTGTTGCAGTAAATTGAAAATGATGCAATTCTGAAAAGAGTTGGAAGTCAAAGATTTCAATAAAGAATTTGAAAAATTACAAATTAGAAAGTAACAGGAAACTAGATTATAGAAGTTATAAAATATAGAAAGAAATGTTTTATTGAACACTATTAAAAATTTATAATTATTTCTAAATTTTCTATTTTAATTCATCATACTAAAACTGATTATGATATTATTCTCTAATTGTTCTTAAAAATTTACCAATATGAAAATAGTAAGTACCTCCACAGATTCGCGATACCTAAGGTTTAAAATGAATTTTTAAAAATGAAAAATCATTCTTGAAGCTTTTATTTTAGTTTTGATTTCAAGCTGAGAGATTAAATTTAATATTTCTAATAAACAAAATATTATGTTGTATTTCAAAACTAATTTAAATTAATTGGAAGGAGTTTTTGTTTTGAAATTTCTAAAATTTTTGAATTTTGTGCAATTTTCCGCAAACTCTTATAAAAATGTAAATCTCTTTATTAAAAAAAATCTTCCAAAAATAAAATATACTTTTCTGAAACTTTATTTAAGGAATATTAGCTGATTTAAAGCATAATTAATTTGATTTGAAACAATTAATATTTACTTTAATTTTGAAATATTACAGAAATGCATTTTTTTAACACAGCGGTAGCTGTTACGTTGACAGCCTTTTAACAGCTCCATGAGAGCTTGATGACAGATTTTTATTTAATCTTGTTCTACAGCAGTTTTTCCCATAAAAAATAATTGAAAAATATAATGTGAGCACCTTTTAAATACTTGGTAATCTTAAAAATTCAAGAAAATATTCTCTGTAATCTAATGTTTACAGATTTTAGTTATTGCTCCTATTTTCTGATGATGATGTGTATGATGATCTGTATCTAAAAAAAAAAAAATAAAATCAGCCCGTGTATACACATAAAATCAATTCAAAATTCTTTTAATAAATACTCAGGCTTGTTAGATTCTAATAAGCTTTATGAGATATGATTAGTAAATATAGTTATAATTAACAATATTCCCTAACAGCTACACTGTTGAAATTGAATTTTAAAAGATTTAAAAAATTTATAAATTATTCTAATTAAAATTGTTTAGAGAAAATTTCATTTTTCATTGAAAAAATTATTTTTCTTAAGACAATATTGTCCTTAATGTATGTTATTCATAAAAGCAATTAAAAGCTGTTCTAATTAAATAATGTCTTAGCTTTATTGTGTTCTTTATATTACAATTCAAAGCAGATTTTCAGTAATAAGGGGGCTTGATTTTGCAAAAATTGAGGATTTAAATCCTCTAAATAGTTCTGCTTTTAATTAATATAGTCATTAAAATTTATCTTGTGGAATTTTTCAAGTTCTCATAAAATTAAGTAAGTGTTATGAAACATACATTAAAAAAAAAAAATTTTACAAGAATTTTCTAAAAAACTTTTCTAAAATAATTCCCTTCATTTGTGAATAAGTCCTGAAAGTTTCATTAAAATCTAATATTTAAAAAATACTTTGATCATTTCTCTTAATAATAACAAAGATTTTGATGAAAAACTTAGTTTTCACCAAATTTTGGGTATTTTTTTCACCATAGTATGCCCTCTTTTGGCGAATTAGTGGAGGTACCTATAAAATAGTATATTAATATACAAGTACCAATATTGAATACTCATTCTGAAATCTGTTTAAATCATAATTGATATAGTGTAGAAAATATTTCTAAAATAAAATTTCAAGACAATATACAAACTGACAGAATTTCTGATGTGAAGTGAAATGCTTCAAGCTCCAAATCTAATATGGCTTAAAATAATATCTATTATAAAAAAAAAGAAAAAAAAGAAGGTAAATCTGTTAGGGTCAGTTTGGATTTTATAATCTTAGTCCATAAACTGTAACGTTATGGAGTTTTTAGGCTCAGGATGAACTTTAAAACATTTGTTTTTATTAAAATTATAAGTCAGTATATAGGGCACAATAAAGGACTTTTCAGAAATGTCAACAGGAGATAGATTTTAATGTTTTTAAAGTCTGACAAAATTATGTCATCTCAAAGCCACGTCTACAGAGAAGTTTTATGAAGTCACTGAAGAAATTACAAACTAAATAAGAATAGAGAAACAAAGATGAAATAAAATGTAAAGGAAATATTGTAGTTAATTTATTCAATTTTTTTTTTTTTAATTTTATTATTTTTAAATCCTAGATTTTAGCTTG